GGATTTGGAATTGGGGCCTTTGAGAGGTGATTAGTTTATGAGAGTAGAACCCTCATGAATGTGATTAGTGTCCTTATTAAAAAAAAAAAAAAAAGACTCTGTAGAGATCCCTTCTCCTTTTCACCATGTGAGGACACACCAGAGAAGAAACATCTATGACCAAGGAATCAGCTTTTACCCAGCACCAAACCTGCTAGCTCCCAAAACTGTTGAGAAATATATTTGTGTTGTTTATAAACTTCTCAGTTTGTGGTATTTTGTTATAGTTACCTTAATAGACTAAGACAGGACTTAATCAAAGGAAGAAACTAGGGTGCCCTGACTTTAAATAAGCTATTCTTCCTGATAAGTATAATAAAATAACAGGAACTAGAGGAAATTCTACAATCCTCCTATCTGTTCAGGGTAATTATGGACCAAGTGATAGGATCCATTGTTATGGATCACAGAATAGGTTTCATGGAGAGACTCATGTACAGTCAGGATTACAATAAATAGCAAACTGAACTGATATGTAGCAGGACTCATCTGAGATAGAGCAGTCAGGAGCTTCAGAAAAGAGCTTAGACTCAGCCACATAACTTAACTGGAATAATTGACAAGCTAAATAGAAACTCAAAATGAGAAAGCTGACCTTTGACAGAATAGTTTCACCAAACTGAGAAGAAATGTAAAATGATGAGGAAAAAAATGTAAGACATGGGAGTCAGATCCAGGATATCTAATATACATAAATAAGAATTACAGTAGAGAAAATTAAAGCAAATGAGAAGCAATAATCAAAGAAATAAAGGGAAAAATCATGAATCTGAATACTGGGCAAAATCCATGAAAGAACTGCATATATTTTCTTTAAAAATCTTTGAAGTTCATATCTAGTCACATTAAAAAAAGCATAAATATTTATACTTCAGATAGGTTTTTGAATGTAAGGAATCACCAGGCAAATAGAGGTGTTGGTATGAGTGTAGAGCATGTGAGGCAGAGTAGAAGCATTTGCAAAGACACAGAGGTATGGAGAGAGGTTGGTACATTCAAGTGACAACAAGTAGTTCAGTGTTCTTTGAGTTTAGAGGACATGTTTGGGCATGTCAAGTGATACTGGAGACAAAAACAGGATTAAAATAGCAAAGGGTGTTATATGTAATAGTAAGAAGACAGGACTTTTTCTTGCAAGAATTTGGGGAAATATTTCAGGCTTTTATATCACCCAATTTTTATTCTAGAAAAATCATCCTCTATTCTATAATTTTGGAGTGGAGGTAAATTGAGTATAGAGGAATTAGTGAGGAGTCTATCATGATAGTTTGGGTCTTAACTTATAAGGGCTTATTTAATAAATTGGTACAGTGTATAGAGCATAGGGAATGGATTGATGAAAGAGTTATTTGATAGATTTTTATGATTTGTTGGATGGAAAGGGATATAAGAAAAAGAGGAATGTGGATTTATTATTTGTTTGACAAGATGAATAATAGTTTTAATGACTATATCGGTAATGCAATATGAGGTATGAATTGATTCAAATGGGGGAGATAATTATTTCAGGTTTTGACATGTAAGTAGAGAAATGGAATTGGAAGTTCGTTTTATAGTTCTATAGTTTAAGAGCGAATTCCAGACAGGAGATATAGCTATGTGGATAATCTGCATATGTAAGACAGTAAGATGTAGCAAGGAAGGCAATCATTTGAGGAGAGTTAGCTGTTAGCAAAGAGATGGAAAGGAAAGAAAGTCTAAGGTATCCTAATGTTTAAATGGTTTACAGAGAAAGATAAATTAGCAAAACAGACTGAGAAAAATTAAAAAGGTAGAAAAATCAAAAGTATGATATTGTAGCCAAATAAAAGAATTGAGTTATAAGAATAAAATATTTGACATTGTGAAATCAAGCTTAGAGGCCAACAATGATAATTACTTAGTGATTTAATAGTCAACTGATAAGCCAGTTATAGTTCAAATAGCTTACTTAGTCCTAGATATATAGGATGAAGAGTTTTTAAGCTCAGTGAGCATACATGGGAAAGATAGACCTATCATTGCATTAGAGCATAGCCTTGTTAAATAAATAAGTACCCAGGACTTAGTAAAGAGAGAATAGTCAAAAGGCTTATCACAAATGAGAGAAAGGGGCTATTGCAATAGGAAGAATGCTCTGACATTAGATCTGCAAATGTCTTAAGGGTTTTGTTTTATTTTGTTTTGTTTTTTAAGTGGGACAAACAAGGCTAGAAAGAACTAGGTATCAGGAAGTGGAATGAAGGGAAGTGGAATGATCTGATCATAGATCAAAGAATGTTTTACCCTGAAACTAGCCTACTCTCAGGAGGGGCTTTATGCTGATTTAGGCTGAGGGTGGGCCAACCATCAAGGGCTTAGGGGAAGAAGAAAATCCTATCTAAATTTTGGCTAACAATAAATTTTGCTCCAATTGATCAGTGGAGACTGAACATTTCAGCTAATCATGAACAGGCAAAGAATGGGAATTTGGAAGGTTTATGTCAGGCCTTATTATAGGTAAACAAGAGGGGCATGCATGAATAGTATCCCAGTTAGGCATAGAGGAAGGGTGCCTCTTTGCAGTAAACCATTTCTTGAAACAGGGATGAGGAGATTTCTTAACATTCATTGTTTTCCAGGAACACAAAGCTCAGGTAAAATTCAACATTGTTATATGTGACAAACGAGTTATTGCACAGGATAATATTGTAGAAAGATATTGAACTCAGATTAATGTCAAGAAAGGCTTATGAAAGGAAGGAAATGAGTCTCCAAAGTACTAAGATAGTGAGACAAATAATTGAGAAAGGCAGTTCAAGAAATGGAAATGGCATCTGTAAAAAGCATTGAGGTTTGATTATCAGGTAATTTTCAAAGTTGTAAGTGGTTGGATATTGCTAAAGTTGAAGGTATTCTATGTAGGGTGAAGGGAGATGACATTGAGGAGGTTGGAAGGGGCTAGGTCAAGGACTTTGTGTGCCAAGTCAGGAAATTTGTAATTAGTCTTTCAGTGGTAGGTCAATGAGATATATTGAGCAAGAATTTGATGGGATCAAATTTTCATTTTGGAATGTTTACTCTAGCAATAGGGAATATTATTCCTATATTCCTATATTCCCTCCTAATATTGGAGGGAGTAGGGGGAGTAAGAATTAATTCAGATATAAATTAAGAGTTATTTTAGTAAGTTAGGAAAATAGTGATAAAGACATACAGCAAAGCAATGGCAGAAAATAGAAAAAAAGGAGAGGTCAGATAAATATGTGAATATGCTGAATATACCAGATCTAGTAACATTTGTATACAGGGACACATAAGAGATAAGAGAACCTAGGGTGGTTTCAGGGTTTCTGTATTAGATGATTTAGTATTACCATTCACTAATGTAGAGCATATGAGAAAGCAATTTGGAGAAAAAAGATTCTTGTTTGAGATAGTTGAGTTTAATTAGATAGCAGTTTGACCATATTGTTATGTAGCTCAAGTCTAAGGACAGAAATCTGAGAGTCACCAGTATAAAGGTGAGCATTAAACCTGTGGATTTGGATGTAGTCATTTTGGAGAGTATGTATAGATTAAAAAGAAAATTCTTTCAACGTAACACTTAAGTGATGAACATGGCTAGGTCTGTAAAATTCCAGAAGTAAAGAAGAGTTACAGGAAAACAGAGAGGAGTGGTATACAGAATTGAAGGGAAGTATTTCAAGGAGGGAATGTCCAATCTTAACTATGTTAAAAAAAAAGTGTTCCTGGGATAATAAAGGTAGAAGCCAGTGGGCTGAAATATAGGAAGGGAGAGGATGGGAGAAACAAATCTGGAATTCTGTTTCAAGAATTTTGGCTTTTAATTGTCATTTCTTAATTTTCATAAGTTAGATATAAAGGATGTAGGGTTGGGCTATGAGTGTTTATTTGTATGTATGCATTTTAAGGATTAGTGAAGTTCCATCATATTTGTAGATGACAGCATAGTGTCAATAGAAGGAAACTAATTAAAAATAGAGAGAGTTGGGACTCATAACAGTAACAGAGCACTAATCTTGGACAGGAAGAGATGTACTACTTGTTTTAAGATTGAGTAGAAGGTACTTCTACTCAGTATATATAGGAATATAGTTAAATTTGTAGGGAATAGAGGGGAAATAGTGGATGGAGTTCAGACTTGATGGCCCTATTCTCTCTGTAGAAAAGGAAGTGGGATGTGAGGAAGCACTAGGGAAAGAACTTGAAAAGCACTAAATAGTTTTAAAGTATTTGCAGTTGCTATTGTTGGGAAAGGAATCAAGCCAGGGCCAAGTAAAAAATTTACTAATAACAATGAGTGGTTGATTTGTGTTTTGAATGTTAGAGCATTGATAATCTTCAGGAGAGATGCCTTAGAATGTAAATATCAGCTTATTTATTTATTCCACATTCAAAACTTAAGTCAAGTGATCAATGAGAATTGTGAGTCTATGATCTTAAATTTAAAAATTTTCAGGGACGATCTTTCTTAAGGGTAATATAGAATATCTTTTCCAAGGAAATGTGATGTGTTCCAATAAAAGTATCCAACATTCTAGTTAAGCTACAACAAAATTTTAAGCTAATGTCAATTATTTTATGGACCAATATATATTATTTTTCTTTGTGGGGAGCCACAAAATACTTTTGGAGTTTCCCTGGACACATGTTCATGCCATTACCTTTCAGAGATCAGGAATGATTAAAGTAAAAATTGTATATATATGTTATCAGATTAGGAGAAGAACCTTGAATGGAAAAAGTTATTATCAAGAATCTTGCATTTTGTGTGGAGAATTGAAATTATTTGATGCTACTAATTTTTGTTCTTTTACTCTAATAAAGTTAGTATGAAAATGCATTTATTAACTATTATGCCTATAAGACTGTATGAAGATTTTGTTAGTTTATTCATACTATTAGATTACCAAGATTGAAATATCTTGGGGAAAAATCTTCATGAAACATAAATTATTGAATATATTTTCTTCATACAGGGAACAACTTATGAGGATGAAATTGATAACATTAAATATATTACTTCAAAAATTAATGAAATTCTGGCTCATAATTCACCAGTTTTGATTGTTCAAAGATGGATACGTGGTTTCTTAGTTAGAAAAAGTTTGAGGTATGTTTTTTATTCTATACTATTTGAATATTGAAATAAAATGACAAGATAAATGATGAAATCAATTCTCCAATTTTAATTTTTATTGTCTGTATTATCAAAATGGTATAGACTATTTGATCTAGTTTTAAGGAATATATTACATTCTATAGTAATATATATTATACTATTTAGCACATTCAAAATTTGATATTTTTAAACTGTTTCATTTAAATTTATCATGGAATAACCAATTAATAAAGTTTTTATTAATAATTATCAGAATAATTCTGACAGATTTTTTTAAACTTAAAGATATTAGTCAAAAGCATATATTGAAATTCTCTCATATAATAGGATATATTAGAAATATAAGCCATGAACTATCTAATGGTATACAATAGAAATATAAATCATGAAACGTGTATATGAGGATTTTATAGTTTGTTTAGAAGTGTTTGCTGAAACATCTGCTACCACATCAATCTATATTATCCTTTAGTAAGTTGTATTTTTCTCTCCCCTTGTTTCTTGCATCTTTTGCAGTAGCTAATCTTTGCAAATAAATGGAAACTTTTCATGCTAGAATCTGTCAATACTGTACTTGTGGAGATAAGATAGGATACTCTGTCATCAATTTATATGTATTGGTCATACCAAATATCAAATATATGAAGAAATAAATGAATATTTTCATATAGCTTATTTTTAATTCTAAATGGTGAAATTCAGAATATAGAAATGAAATTTGGCCCTGAAATATAGGTAGGATTAAAAATAATTTGGAATAGGACAATGGATGTTATCTGAAAAAACAAGATTAGTAAGTTTCACTGAAATGAAATTCAACATTCTGTGGTAAGGCAAAGATAATGTCCTCCTATATTGGTCTGTTTGTGCTAAATCATAGGTGGTTGCAATAGTTCCGATAAAAAAAGTATGAAGGACAAGTAGCAAAACTGACCATAACACAGTGCCTGCAATTTCTGAGGAAGTAGTTTCATATACTTTTCAAACCGAGGTCAAAGTATGAGAGACAATGAGCTTGTAAGTAGGGACAAGTCAAACCATCTGGAATGAAGGATATGGAAAGGATCAGGCAATTGTTGACAGTGCTTATTTATTTAAAATATGATTCCTGTCTTATATTTTGTATTTAAATTTAGTATGTACTGTATATGAAATAATTATCTAATTAAAGGACTTGTCTTAGGTTTATGCCCTTGGGATTTAATTTTCCTTTCTCAGAACCAAGCCTCTTGCTGATATTCAAGTAACATAAAAACTTTGCTCATGGGAACATTCCCTGAAAACTCAGAATGTGTCAGTAGAGTTTGAATGACTTTTGTAGGGAGAGATATCAATAATAATATATCACAGTGGTTCAAAACAGACTGATTTGAATTCTTTCTCTCTTTAAAGCTCTGCTCCATTAGGTACATAACTAACTTCGAATCTGAATTTCCTGATCTGTAAAATCATAAAGAGCAGGGGCTAACAGCAGTACTTATTTTTCTGTTTGCTTGTGGGAATTGAGATTTTGAATATATGTTCATAGCTCTTAGCAAAAGTAGATATTACATTCTTATTAGGTGTTTTTTTTTTTTTTAAATCATTATTGTTAGTTATATCTTGTGTTATATCTTGCTCTCTGTGCTATTTGACTCCAGGGGAAACTTTCCTTGGATTTCTTGCTTCCTTCCTATTACATTTCCCACAGTATGCACAAGTATTTTTTTAAAATAAAAATTTAATCATTTTATTCATCAATGTAAAATCCTCCAATGGCTTTCAGCTTGCTTAGGACAAATATCTGTGATATTTGCCTCTACAATGTGTAACACAAACTTTTATTGTCACAAGAACTTACCTTACTGTATCGTGGTTGTTTGTATAATTATATATCTCCTGATGTACTTTAAGCTATGTGAGGCATAGAGTCTACATCTCTGTTTTCCACTCTATACCTCTATCTAGCATATAACAGAATGCCTGACACAGGTGCTCAAAAATATTTGCTAAATTGATGAATACATCAATAAATGGAGAGGCTCTGGGAGGTGGAATCTGAAAAGTATTTCTGGATTCATCTTTGGGAAAGTGAAAGAAAGAACTGAGAAACATGAAAAACTTCCCTGAGAAGGACCTATGGATTCCCACAACCTAGGGGTCCAAATGATTAATCCTCTTGTATGTCTATTTCTAGCCTTGAGAAATGTCTTCCCACACCTACATATTTTGCATCTTGCTTGAAATTTTTCACTTAAACTGCTTGAAATATCATATACAGCCTAAATTTTAAAATTATAATATGATTAATGCTATTATCTTTTAGAGTGATAGTATTTCTAATATTAGTGATAAGATGTACGGGAAATACATTTTTGTTTTAGAATGAAATATTGTAATAACATTGACAGTCTCCAAAACCTATGTAAAGGCACCTGTATTGAGGTCATAGGAAGGATAACTGGTTGGGTGAATGGGTTGTAAAAAAGGTAATAGAATGGAAAATAATATAGGAAACAAACATTATTAAATGTGCAGTATTTGTAAAGCACCATAGTAGGTATTTTAATCTACTTTATATCATTTAATGGAACAAAGCTTTTGATTTTTTTCTGTGTTTTCTATTAATATTTTGCTGATTAAACATTAAGAATTTAAGGCCAGGCGTGGTGGCTCATGCCTGTAATCCTGGTACTCTGGGAGGCTGAGGCAGGAGGATCGCTCAAGGTCAGGACTTCAAAACCAGCCTGAGCAAGAGTGAGACCCTGTTTCTACTAAAAATAGAAAGAAGTTAGCTGGACAACTAAAAATATGTAGAAAAAATTAGCTGAGTATGGTGGTGCATGCCTGTATCCCCAGCTACTCAGGAAGCTGAGGCAAAGGATCACTTGAGCCCACGATTTGAGGTTGCTGTGAGCTAGGCTGATGCCACCGCACTCTAGCCTGAGCAACAGAGTGAGACTCTGTCTCAAAAAAAAAAGAATTTAAATTGATGTAGGAAATATTCAATGTCAGACGCTATTATGTGTTGGCCATTTGTGATCAGTTGTGAACAACAGATGAAAGTATGCATAGTAATCTGTGAATGTCAGGTTCTGTTGTTTAACATATTCCAAATTCTGTTCTTATTTTGCTTTCTAACCACAGCCCTGGAATCAGCTTTCCAAAGACTCAGTTTCTTCATTAGAGAATGATATTTGGAAACTAAGATCTCAAAAGTAGATGTGTTCATTGCTACTGGATGTCATGGTTGCTAAGCCATTTCAGCAAACAGAATAGAAAATAGATTATTTTTTCCATCGTGATTTCATATTATTACTCGAATGCTAATCCAACACAGAAGTTCTTCACTGACATTGTTTGCCATTATTATACTTCCCTTCTACTATGAGAATTCTGGTTTCTAACATTATATAATTTTACTATTAGCTTAATCCTACAAACACACAAAATACTTTCAGGATTGCTCTCATATATTACAATTAACAAATTATAATAAAATTTAAGATTTGTTGTAGGATTTTGTTGGACTAGAGATATTTAGTTAAAATAGATTATTGAATAGTTATTTAGATTTATTATCACTGAGTTATCTATGATTTCTTTTTAATTTTAAAAACATTTCTTTATTTAATCTTCATTTCTCTAAAGGGAATTTCTGTTGTCTTCACTTATAATTACACTTTTTCTAGGTTAGTCTTTATATTAAATTGAATTTATAAATACTGATTCTTTTTCTGAGTTCTGTCACTGAATTTCAAAATTTATCTCATTCTAGTTTATGTTACTCTTACAAGTCCCATACAATTTCTTGATATCTTTTAGCTCATTTTGAAATAATGGGTTGTAATTTTATTTTTATTTTTTGTAGGCTTCACCTTCTGGCCTGCTTTCATTGTCTGTGGCAATGTATTATATATCTTATTCTTTTTTTCCTTTATAGGAACTTAATTTATCTTATTCTTTTTCCTTTGTAGGAACTCTGTATAGGATTAGATGATGCTCGTTCTGTATTGCCCTTTTCTGAAATTAATTTTGAACTTTAAGAAGAAGCCTTTCTTACTTCAGGATTTAAAGCCACTGCTTCTGTTGTTTTGTGTAGTGTCCAAAAATATGGCTTCCATTCCAAGTTCTTCAGCTTTAGTTTCCACCATCCCATTTTATCGTGGATCTTTTTTTTCTCTCTCATTTTCACCATTTCTTTGTGCTGCTTAATTTAGATTCTATTCTGTCCCCAGAAGCTGCCCTTTGGTTTGGGATTTGACCTAGAGAAGCGTTTTGGCTGGTTAGTTTTGGGGTTCATAGTCCCAGAATACTGCAGACTCCTCAGATCTTAACAGAGATCCTTTGTATTCACACACTAAAACCCTTCTAGGATTTAGCTTTCGTCTAAAATTGGTTCTCCAAGCTTTCCAGCGAGTGTCTAATTTTTTGTTTTATCTATCCATCAATGTGTCATTACTTCCATCTGTGTACTCCTGCGTAGTTGTTAACACCACAGTGGTCTTATGAGTGTCAGTGGTTTTCCCCATTCATTCACATTTTGGATTTCCTGAGGATACGTTTCACACAGTAAGGTTATAGATATTTTAAAAATGTTGCCATCTAGTTGTTATGTCTGTTTTTATGAAGAGATCTGGAGAGATTTAAAAACTATGTCACCATCACAACTATTATATTATCCCATAGGCCCACACAAAGCAAGTGTTCCATGTTAAAAGTGTCATTTACAACTATTTTTGACAAACAAAATTGTGACTTTAACATTTTAGGTTATTATTATTAAAAAATTTATTTTTTAAAAATATGGGAAGGGCAGAAGTAAAATATCTTAGTCATACTGTGAGAAGACTACCTAGGGGAACTTGGATGCTTAAGTATCAAAAGAATTAATTTAGGGTAATTCAAATAATTGACTTCACATAGTTGAATATTCCACTTATATACATAGATAAAGATTAAGTATAGTGAATGGAAGTTTTAGAAAGACAGATTCAGCTTATTTTCTAAGA